AGTTCGAGCAGTTGAAAAACGTGCCCAAAAATGTATTGAAGAACAAGGTGGTGTTTTCGAGCATCTTCTTTAAAAAAAATTGTTATTGTATTTTGTAAGATTATAAGTTGATGTTGAAAATAAAGTTTGTCGATACAATTTAATTGTTTCAGATTGGAGGCCATAACTTCAACAATTTGTAACCTAGGAGAAAAGTTATTGTAAGCTTTTTTGTTTAAAATTTGATGCTTTAACAGAAAAAAATTAATATACAGGGGTTTCCATTTAAAAAAATGTTATTTTACTGAAAAAAATCAAAATAACGACTCTCAATTGTTTTTTTTTATTTCTCATTTTTACCAGCGTTAAAAATGCTACTAGTTTGCTAATTCAAACAACTTTGTATTTTCACTAATAACAAAGTTACTAATGGTGGACACTTAATTTGGATAACCCTGTAGAGTCAGTCTACTTTACGCAATTTTTCAGGAAACCAAAAAGTATGTTATTCTTGACCGTACTATGACAAGCTTATTATAGATGCATCGTCGCCTCCGAGTATCGTTGACAATGGTCAATTATTTTGGTAATTCGAATGAACCCAGATTTCGGGTCAACTCGGTTAAGCGTTTTTTTTTTCATTTATGCGATTTAAATGAGTATGTTGGGGCTGGTAAGTCAGCCGTCATTGTGCTTTAATTGATAAAATGACCGAAATCTGAATGAAATCGACCTAGAGAATTGAGTCGTCTTTCGAAAAGAATCACGTTGAACATGTAATTGAGTGATCATGAGTAAAAATGAGAACGTAAAATATTTTTAATTTCATGTCATATGCGTGTTCTAGAAAGATGAAAACCTAACAGAGATGAATAAATAAATAAGTCACTAAAGGTAAAGGGATACCGCATAGAAGTAACAGGAAGTGAATTAAAAAAAAGTGTATGTATGCTTTATCTGAAGTCACTTGAAATAGCATAAAAACCTTTGGTCGGCGCGTCCTTTGTAATTTCATGACGTATCATAGGCGTGCGGTCGTTTATTTAGAACGATAATAATAATGTTTTTATATCACAATAAATGGATTTTACTATCTACATTATAGGTATTTATATATCATCCTCGCCTTCGGAGCTGTCGCTCGAGTCATCTTGTAGAGGAATTACAACGGGATTTACAGGAGGCAAAACACAATATTCATTTTCTTTTTCAATAATATGCCTAGAACACTGCTTCCATAGGTCTGTGGCAGCAATATGAGATACTGCATCTTTTATTGTGGCCAATAGCGATTCACTTAATTGAGGGGTCTGATTATGTTTTCTTACTTTTTTTTTTAAAGCAGCCCAGACCAACTCAATCGGGTTAAAAATGCAGTAATAGGGAGGTAGACGTAATACTTCATGGCCATTTTGCTGAAGCAGATTGTCAACAACATACTCTTTTTCAAATTGTTGTCTTTTAATAAGATCCAATAATATGGCTTTGGTTGATTTTTGTGGTATTTCCATTCCCTTAGCCTTCATAAAATCAATAATGTCTTGTTTTTTTGTGCCTGTATTCGGAATTTCGTTTTTCTGTCGGGAATGGTATGGCGCATTGTCCATAATAATCACTGAATTTGGGGAAATGTTTGGTATTAACTGCTGCTCTATCCACTTTTCAAATAAGTCGGAGGTCATGTCCTCATGATAGTCGGCACATGATTCTTTGATATTTTTGGCAGATAACAGCAAGGCATTAGGTATAAATCCATTTTCACTGCCAGCATGGAGAATAATGATTCGTTTTCCACGGTTGCATGGTGCATTTAAAATGCACTTGTTGCTGTCGTCAACCCAGACGTACTGCACAACATCATGGGTATCATACCACGTTTCATCCAGGTAAATCAGATTTCTTTTCTGCTCTCTATAGATTTTAACTTTGTGCAAAAATTCTTGGCGCAATTCAACGATTCGAGACGGCTCCATAATCACCATTCTTTTATCTAATTTTTTGTATTGAAAACCACACAGTTTTACAATACAGTGCAGTGAGTCTAAGCATTTGGAATTATAAAAATCTTCAGGATAATCTTTTAATTTATCCCGTATCATTTCCAACGTGGGCACCAAATTTTCTTTATAAAATCCGTATGTTATACGACGAATATCTTCCTGAAAACCCACGTCTATTCTTTTTAATTTTCGCCCTATGCGCTTTCTGTGGAAGGAATGGTTGACTACATCTCCCCTTTTTATAACCCGATAAATGGTAGACCGACTGATTTTTGTCAGGATACAAATTCTGTTTAAAATTTGATTTTGCGAGGAATCTGGATTTTCGTTTTTCAGACAATCATACATATTTAGGATTACTCTTTGGGTCTGTTCCTCTAAATCTTTATGAAAGAATTCTGCCTGCACAGGTTCATCAACCATCTCCTCGTGGCTTGGAGCATTTTCCCAAGGTCTCCAAAGAGCCATATTTAGGACACACAAGAACAATCAACACAACAATTAAATCAACAAGTAAACTGAGTATTCAAAAGTCAAAAACACACAATCTAATAAAATCTATGAAAAAACTCGGACAGACTAAAGAAAACACCTTTATTCACCGCTACACGGCACTGGCTAAACTGTTTCAATTTTCAGTAGCCACCTGCACTTGTTCAGACCTCTGAAATACACGCTTTCTCATTGGCTATGTCCACGCATAGGCGTGCTTTACTCCACGTGGACCGGTGAAACTGCCTTTGATCTTATATATATTTGCTGCGAAATTTGGCGATTTTTGCAGCAACAGAGCGTGTTAAATATAGATATATAAAACGCACCCGGTATTTCACAGTGTTTCAAGTGACTTCAGATTTGATATGAATGTATAATTCTAAACAGCAGAAAAAGAATGCCTATGTCTAATACTGTTTAAGCATGTGATTTTTCAAGCCGTAAATAACTATTTATATTTCTTTTAGGTAACGTTTCCACCCACATTTTTTCTTTTAAATCTAAAGTTTTGAAGTTTTCAAATGTCTGTAGGCTTTGGAACAGCAGTCAACATTTCGACTGAGCTTTTCTTTTGGTTATAGAATGGTATAAAATAATCTACCAAAAAATTCTCACATTCTACTAATATTTCTGAAATGATATCAAATAAAAAATATCCTGGCTTACGCATAGAAGGCAAAGTTGATTGTGATCTGCTTATTGAATGTTTATTGGTCTAGATCAGAGTTCCCCAAACTTTTTTGTGTCGTAGACCACTTGCGATGTTTTTCCGTGTTGGGTAGACACCCTACTTACCTGATATTGATTTCCTGTAAATTTCTAACTGTAGTGAAGTTTAGTGTTAAAAACTTAAAGTAAAAACACATGTTAATTTATACATTTATTAATTGAATTTGAATTAAAACTACTCGAAATAAAATTTTGTATCTGTTATGTAAAATATACGTAACATTAAATAAACAGGTGTCTGACCAATAAGTGCCCGCATAGGGAATAAGTGCCCGCATTGAAAAAAAATAAGAGGGATAAAATAAAAAAAAAGTGAAAAACAATAAAAAAAAAAGTTTTTACTTAAAATAGTACAATAAGCGAGATCGTTTATTAATTATAACATAAACGTATGTTCTACAATAATTTCACTGTTAGTTTGATTAAATTCCGCTTCTTATACGTTTAAGTTATCTAAAAATAGGCAAAAAATTAACGAATTTTAGAGTGTACCTATCCTTGAATTTTCAGAATAATTTAAAAAAAAATATTTTCTATAAAGGGGGGTTCTTTAAAAAATCAATGCGGGCACTTATTCCCAATGCGGGCATTTATTGGTCAGACACCTATAAACATAAAATAAACTATAAATAAAATAACATAACAATAAGTCAATATTTTTAATGAGAAGGATGAACCTAATGCTTTAATAATAAATTATCAATATTTGGCCTTAATTTTGTAAGGGTTAATCTTAAATCTCCTCGGCTAATGATGTCCAGTCTGTTTCTTTTTTTCGTTAGGAGATTGGTAACAGCGCTGAACCCCCTTTCCACTAGGTATGACGATGGAAAGGAAATTTAAAATTTTCTCGCTATATTCCATAATACGGGATAAGTAACGGGTATGTTGTTTTGCAGCCAGAATTGCTGATATCCGTTTTTAAACTGAACCTTAAGTTCTTCGTTTGTACTTGGTTCAGTCAGTTCCTCTTGTATTATGACATTCGTTTCTTCTATGTCACCATATGGATTAATTATCCACGGTGGTATTACCATAGTAAAAATATCCTCAAACCTAGATCCAAAATCTGAATAGAGGGCATTTAAATGATGAACGTAAGTTGAAACGTCGTCTTCCTGGCAGCTTGTCTGTGACAAATTGGGGAACTGAGAAAATTCGCCCCGTCCAATATTTTGCTTCATTAGTTTAACTCTGGCAAGAAACGCTGATAAGATGAACTTTGTTTTAATAAAATTTAAACTGTCGCCTTGTACTTGCAAATTAACCATATTAAATTTTGTAAACAAATCTGTTTTCCTCTGCATTAAATTTTCTTCTAAAATGTTATCTTTAGTATCCAGAAATTCTAAAATAGTCTAAAAAAGTGCAAAAAATCTTGTCAAACATAAGCCTTTCGACAGCCAGCGTACTTCAGTGTGAAGGAGTAATTGATAAAAGTGTTCGTCATTTTCTTCACACAACTGCGCAAATAACCGCGTATTCAACGCGTTTCTTCGGATTCGGTTTACTGCATCAATGACTAAATGAAGTGATTCATGCAATCTAACACTCAAATTTTTAGCAACTAAATGTTGTCGATGGATGACTCAATGTATTGCTAACACCCCTGACACATTTTGTTTTAAATAGCTTATAAATCCACGATAACGTCCAACCATGGCAGGTGCTCCATCTATAGCTACTGATATTATATTTGATAAAGGAATTGCTTTTTCAATGAAGTAATCCTTCAAAACATGAAATATTGATTCACCTTTAGTGTCGGTTATCAAAGTTCTTGCGAAGAGCAGTTGTTGCCAATAATAATGCTGCATTATCAGGTAAAGTTGACTCGTCCAGTTGTATAGAGAAATGGGTCGTTTGCAAATAATTACATAAGAAGCTTTCAATATCAGAACTCATTTCATCAATACGTCTTTCAAAAGCAATTGTTGCTTAAGGGAATTCTTTTAATGATATCAGATGCAGGTTTGTGTAAAACAGTTTTTCAAACCTCTTCAACGGCTGGCAAAATTAACTTCTCTCCGATAGTATGCGGTTTTCCGGATTTTGCTATAAGTAACGAGATATTGTAAGACGCCCGCAAACCATCATTTCTTTGTGACGTCGAAGCGAACATTCTGTCCAGTGAAGGTCTCTTCTGAAATTTATCTTTGAGTGTTTGAAAGTATTTCAAATCTTTCTCTGTTTTATTAGGGTGGCATCTTCTCAGATGATCTTGCAGTTTAGATGGTTTCATAGCGTCATTGCCCAAAACTTTGTTGCATAAAAGGCACATAGGCGATTGTTTGTCCGGCAATGATGGAATGAAGCCAAATTTCAAATAATCAACACTGTACTGTCTATATTTCTTTTAAGATTCGGACATGGCATCAGTCATCTGTGGGCAAAATTAAATTATTTAAATAAGACAGAAAATCCAGCAGCTGTACATTAAAAATATTTTTTGATTTTTCCGAAAACATTCCATAATTCGAACATCTTCTTGCAACAATTAGCTCGAATTACGGAGATTGCACTGTAATTATATTACCGATTGCTAAAACTTTCAAAAAGAAACTATTGATGAGTACTCGTGTAATTTTGCATGATTGAATATTTAACTACTAATAACTAAAGTCATGATTGGCGGAATTTATCTATCTTTGCTAACTAGGAGTACAAAACTAAAATTTAATAAAAAATAATGTACTTACTTTTCTCCAGCACTCTCAAACAAAATAACACTGACTCACTATAATTTGTGTGATATATATACTATCTGTTTATATTTTTTTAAATATTTTCTTAGCACTTTCCTTTTCAAGATTCAGGAAACGAATAAACGTATTTGTCCCACATTCGTATTTATGGAGTGACGAATTGAACAAGTCAGTGCAAGGTAGCGAAGCTCTGAGACTGCGACTCTCAGGTTTTTACAAGTTCAAAATGTATTGCGACCACAAAGCGAATACCAACATCCTACAACTTACACAATTTTATAAACATATATAATAAATGTTTTACTTCATAGGTACTTTTATAAATAATGTATATGTTTTGATATTATAAGATAGTATGATGTAAGTAAATAGGTACTATCAGTGTATGTGTTGAGATCCACTATCGTGGACCCCCATATTCATTTCATGAACCCCCAAATTTTTTTCGCTGACGTAGACCCCTTGCAGGTTGTCATAGACCCCTAGGGGTCGATATAGTCCACTTTGGGAATCAATGGTCTAGATAACTCTCCGTACCGCAATTTCCGGGTTAAGCTTCAAATAACGCCATTTGTCCAACAATAACTTAAGCTTAACACGTGTATATATCACCCCTCCCGCTGCTTTAAAAGCGTCTGTACCCTCGGTTAATAATAGCCCGGGGGCAAATAACAAATATGCTAATGGCAACAGAACTTTTAAATCTCCCGAGTGACAGATTTAAATGCGAATCTTTGGTTAGCCGCCTCAGCGACGTCATAATAGCCAGTAAATTTTCCGTAGGGAGCAGAGTGCATTTTCCAATTATAACCAAAGTGCTAGGTCGCATGCTGCCAGAGCAATTTCGTAACCGTCGCTAATTTCGCGAGGTTTCTGATCTACGATCGCTGTTAAACGACAAAATGGTATTCGCGGATGTCGTTTGAATATAACGATTGAGGATTCGCTTTCAGATTCACCTTACTTGCGGCCTCCTCGACAAAGGAAGACGGACTAGTCAAGGACGGATTTAGATACTTCCTAGTCGCCAGTTTGTCATTTTTACTTCCCGAGTCCACTGGCGAGGAAGTATTGTAATCGCGAAACATTCAAAAGGAAGACATAACCTCACAATAGGACAGCGCTGACGCTGACACGGAATAGTAGGAATCTAGAAATACCACAGCCTTTCTGAAGGAGAAAAAAATACTATGAAAATCAAGGAGCCCATAAAGGCATCCTACAATTCTAGGAACAATCCTGGCCTTATTGAGGAGCGAATGAATGAATATTCGTGACTGATTAGAAAGATCTTGCAATATTTCTGTAGAACAATAGTAAATGATGTAAAATTGAACTCGAGTAGCGATCAACAACGTCGTGTTTTGTACTCATTGGGTCTGTATTTTAAGGCTATGTACTATAAAGTACAGAAAATGAACAAAAAGCACCGTCAAGAAACAAGAACATAATTCGCAATTAGTCTTGAAAGAATGCAGATGCAGGGCGGTCTTTGCAACGTTGCCATTTCATTTTTGCAAAGATGTGCATGCGACCAAGTTTCTAAACTCATTTGGCAACAAGCTTGTCGTCTTTAATTAAAAACGCTACTCGCAATCCATAAAATTCCGACTGAGCCCACCGCAGTTCGACAGTTTTACAGTTATTTGATTTTAATGAACACTTACTAATTGCTATCCTTTAATGAACATTCGTGACAGCGCTAATATACGAGGTCTGTAAATTAAGTAATGAGACTGGCAACGTAGCGTACGATCTGCGCCACTGGAGGGGGACAGGGGAACATGTGACCCGTCTTCAGTGCAAGTTTGAACTAGCTCGAGTCATTTTTTCTTAGTGTGTGTTTTGTTTCAAACTGGGGCACAAGGCCAGGCCTTCAGAGATAGTGTTTTATCAAGAGCCCAGGTTTTTCGGTGGTTAAGGCATTTTGCGATTGACAATAGAAAATTGTAATTATATTTTAATAAATAAATCAGACTCATCAATATCGGTTAACGCGTTTTGTCGAGAAAACGGAACATACACACTTTCTAATTAAGATAAGTAGGGGTGAGATACAGCTCAAGTGACAGTAAACAAAGATCCAAAGCATCGGGTAATGAGAACAAGCCCATAAAACGATCACCGCAGCAATAATGCTTGTAGGTGGTCTAGTTCTACGAGAACTGGTCCCATTAACAAACCCTCGGCTCATAACCGACTCATGACCATTAGGGCACACCCCGAACAGCCCTTTACAATAATTGTCTGCCCGAGACTGTTAAACGACAAACACTTTTCAATTAATCAGTTCGTTCGTACATTTTATTTGTTGCAGGAGAATTTTAATGCTCGGAGGATGTTGTTAAAGATTAGGGTTTCTTTCTGAATTGACAGTTCACCCCGTCATGGATGTTTTGATTGGGCATGATCAGGCGGTTATGTGTTTTATGATACGACAAGTTGTAAAATGTGTCTCTGCGTGTGGAGGTCTGTGTTTTTCTTCCCACGCTAAAACAGATGGAAGAATTACCGCACTGAAATAAATGTACTCGTATTTTACGTTCAGAGCGATAGTTTTGGCGTTTATGCTTTTGTATCTATAAATCATGGCGTGGTTAACGTTTCTTTGATTTTTTTATGCCTTAAAAAATGGGACACAACATCAAATAGTACGTGTACCAACAACTATTCTACATGACGCTTAATCGACACAAGCATGTAATGTCGCAAGACCGCGAAAGAAAATGGCGCCAAGTAGGTTGACTTAGCACAAATTAAACCCTCTAAGAACATGGAAAATTCAACCGATCAACTCAGTCAAACAGACCCATACAATCAGTCTGTAGACGTTATTTCGCTGCCTTGCCAGTAGTTACCGTAACGATGCATCAAATATAGTCAACGCCAAACAAAGTGGCGTGCACGTCATCACGATAAAAATTCCCCGACCTAATGCCTAGGTTTCTATCACAAACAATTGCTCTATTGCAGTTTCATATTAATGTGATATATAAATTGTAAAATGGTCATTACTCTCTTATTATGGTTAATAGTCATATAAACATTGTTATTAAAATATCACATAAGTTGCTTTCTGATAAATTTAGACGCATTATGCGAAATAAAATGTTTTGCAAACGCTCCAATCACTTATCGACATGTAAACGCACTAAACCGATTTCGCAGCGTTGACACATTGTCACCTTGAAACTTATTTAAACTGGGAACTGACATTTGTATTAATTTTGACACTGAATCAATTTGTGGCATTTCAAATCTTTATAAATCCTTTGGCCCCGCATACTGTAAATCAACAACTGTTTGTTTCAAAACAAAATTATTCATTTTACGAGTAGATAAAGACAATTTTGGTATATAAAGATGCCCAAACAGTTAAATAGTCGGTGCAAGGAACTCGTGGCCTCGTTAATGCACTACTTTGAGCAAGAAAGGGACAACAACGGGCCTTTGTTGCCTTTAAATGCTGTTCAAGAGGTAGGTTACTAATAATTATATGTAATGTATATTAATAATAGTGAAATTTTATTTCATTTTTTGTAGCGTGTTGCTGCTGCTTTAAAAATTAGTTTAAGGACAGTTAGTCGTATTTCCGAGGGTGTGAAAAGTGATGCAAATTTAGAATCGCCCAAGAAAAAGCGGAGTTATATTAAACGTGTAACCAACACAGCGACATTGGATACAAGTGCCATTCGAGAAGTGATCTATAATATGTATCACAAAAGTAAGATCTTATTATAATAACTTATCAGAAATTTGCATTAATTTGTTAACTAAATTATAATGTCATATTACACATGGGTTTCAGAAGAACAAGTTACGATACAAACTTTATGGTCTCGATTAAGAGATAGGGCATTATTTGATGGTAGTGCCACGTCTTTAAGGCGGTTGCTTAGAGATCTTGGATTTAAGTGGCTTAAGGACAATCCGCGACGAGGGCTCATGGAACTACCAAGTATAGCTTTGAAAAGGGTGGAATTTCTAAGGCAATACAATCAAGCCAAGGTTGAGGCCTTATACCAGTTTGTCTTCCTCGATGAAACTTGGATATTTCAAAATGGGACCATAGGTCGCTCTTGGCAAAATGGAAACCAAAAAAGCGTGAAAGCTATTAAAACAGATGGTAAAAGGTATGTACTTTTACACAATTTGCACTATAAAATTTAAAACTAATATATTTTAGATACATTATATTACATGCTGGAAATGAAAATGGGTTTATTGAGGGTAGTGAAGCGATATTTTCTTCGAAAACAAAATTGAGCGATTACCATGGAGAGATGAACCAGGACAATTTTTTGAAATGGTTTCAACATCAGTTATTAGAAAACTTGGAGAGTCCATCTATGATTATACTGGATAACGCCCCTTATCACAGCATGATATTGAACAAAGTGCCCAACAATGCATGGACAAAATAAAATATCC